CAGAAAGAAGACTCGATATTGTTTATAAGTTTGTAAAATTTTTGTATATAAATCATTGTTTGTAATAACTATTTGTAATAACCTTTAAATGAAATAGTATTATTATTTGTATATTAAATTATATTTGTAATAAATATGAAAACTGTGTGTATCAATCTTGTTGGCAAATATCATAAATTGGATATATATCAGCATTTATTTACTTACAAAATCCAAAGTACAATCTAACTCAGTTTTAGGATATTTGAAATTGTAATACGTAACATAATAAATTGGGGGCTCGTGTCCGAGATCTGAATCGACGATAAAATTCGATATAAATTTGAATTTAAATCATAATTCAATTTATATTTATCAGTGCCAACAAGATTTGATCATGTCTGATTATCAAGATTTTCTTGAATCAACCTCCCTCCAACAACTAGAAAGATACAACAAAAATGAATTATTCGAAATTGCCAAAGTTTTTGAACTAGAAGTTAACAGATCAATGAGAAAAAATGAACTAAAAAGCATATTATTGAAATACTAGTTAATGATGATTTGATGTGCGAGGAAGCATTGGGGGAATACTCTAGTGTCCCCACTAGCTAAACGTGGTTGAGTGATAAAGATAAAACTCAAATAAATCGAGCTTGAACAAGCTCGTATCGAAGCCGAGAAAGAACAAACTCGTATCGAAGCTAAAAGAAAAAATAAACGTCTGGAGGCCGAACAAGCTCGTATCTAAGCTGAAAACGAAATTATACTGAAATAAATATTAAAATATATTTGTATTATAAAAGAAAACTGTGTGTATCAATCTTGTTGACAAATATCGTAAATTGGATACATATCGGCATTTATTTAAATACTAAATTCAAAGTACAAATTAGGTTTTGAAATTGTAATACGTAACAACACTTAATTCTCTTCGTATAGTTTCGAGTTTAACCTTCTTGTAAGTTATCAAGACAATCTTCCACTTATATTAGGATGTATAGTACGAAAAGAGAAATCATAAAAAAAGGATTTAAAACGAATCAATTCTACCGTTCTTCAATAACGCAAGATCACGTATAGTATCTCGGTGAACAAGAAAATATAACATCACTAACAGTATACTTCAAAAGATGATAAAACAATATTTTAAAGAGCACAGATGGATTCGTGATGTAGCACACAACTTCTATAATAAGAAACATACTAAAAGCTACCGCAAGACAAAATAAACCAACAACTTATTAATACTGCAGTTACTACGAATACATATTTTAGTTTCTTGTAGCGTGACGTGAGATAAAATACAAAGTTAAATATTACAACAACAGTGAATGAGTGAAGCATATTTCCCTCTACCTGCTACCAAGCGATATTTCCCAAATGCGGTTCTGTCTTGCTTAGAATTCGTCAACTTATGATAATTTAGTCGGAAGTTTATTTATTCGGTCTGAAATTCTTGCCCAGCGACATAAGCGCTTTTACTGCTAAAGAGAGAAATTACTGTCGTAAACTAATAACCGCGGGCCATTAACTCTTTGTTGTTGAAATAAATGGAAATTCAAACGATGTGGAAAAAGATGACAACCTCCTTGTTTAATTGACTTTGTGAAAATAAATTTTAATTTTATATAAGCCCCCTAATGGCACAGCGGTATATCTGCGGACTTACAACGCTAGAATCCGGGTTTCGATACCCGTGGTGGGCAGAGTACAGATAGCCCATTGTGTAGCTTTGTGTTTAATTACAAACAAACAATAGTTTTTATATAAAGGCTTAATATTATATATTTTTTCTATTTTCAAGTAGTATATTACTGCTTAGTTTATGCCCAAATTACATAACAGAATTAATTTTATCCCGCTATCAACAATATATAAGTTACTGATTTTTTGAAAAATCTTAACCCTGCTATTCCCGATAAATTTGTTTCATAACACTGGTTCCCTACTTTATGAATAACGTACATTAAAGTTATTTCTGTTCTAGTAATCTATACTGGAAATTTGTTTGTTTCTTCATCCTAACGACATTTTATGCTAAAGGGCCATGTCGGAAACCCCTGAGCTGTCCCTACTTATGAACTGCGGAACAGAAGGAAGGCAACCAGTTGGCGAACCCGCCGCCTGAAGCAGCTAATTGACTGTTACTTGTAAAACGTATAAAAATCTAAAATTGCAAACACTGTTTGGTAGTTCCACCTCATGAACCCGAGAACCTCGGAGCATTAGTCCGATATGCTAACCAGTAAGCCACGCGCAGGCCATATTTTTCAGTTAAATCACCATTAAATTAGGTCTCTATGATAATAAGTAAAACAAAAAAAAACTTCCGAGAACTTAGAAACAAGGACGATATACAAAATTTAATTTCTTGCATACTTTCTAAAATGGTGTAAAATATACAGATTCGTAGACTTAAGTACTTATATTTACTTTAATACTCAGGAGCTAGAGATTTTTAGAAGTAAATATTTTTAAATATACAGAATTTAAAATATTGATAGAAGTAGAAACCTTGGAGTGATACTTATTGTCTTTATTCTAGGGTTCGACGTGGAGCAAAATTACACCGACAGCAATCGTGGGGAAGACAGTGATACAACTAGCACCTTAAAGCTCGGTAAATCCAACATCAGTGGACATCCATGCAAAGAAAAGAAGAAAACCTTTTTTAAAAAGGTGAGAAGTGAGATCAAACCAGTTTTACTTGAATCAGTCATCACACTGACTTTAAGAAGGTGAGAAGTAGCTCAAACATCAGTTTTTTACTTGAATCAGTCATCACACTGACTTTAAGAAGGTGAGAAGTGAGATCAAACATCAGTTCTACTTGAATCAGTCATCACACTGACTTTAAGAAGGAGAGAAATAGATCAAACATCAGTTCTACTTGAATCAGTCATCACACTGACTTTAAGAAGGCGAGAACTAGCTCAAACATCAGTTTTTTACTTGAATCAGTCATCTTACTGACTTTAAGAAGGTGAGAAGTGAGATCCAACCAGTTTTACTTGAATCAGTCATAACACTGACTTTAAGAAGGAGAGAAATAGATCAAACATTAGTTTTTACTTGAATCAGTCATCACACTGACTTTAAGTAGGTGAGAAGTAGATCAAACGTCAATTTTTTACTTGAATCAGTCATCACACTGACTTTAAGAAGGTGAGAAGTGAGATCAAACATCAGTTTTACTTGAATCAGTCATCATACTGACTTTAAGAAGGTGAGAAGTGAGATCAAACATCAGTTTTACTTGAATCAGTCATCACACTAATTTAAGGTGAAAAGTCGATCAAACATTAGTTTTTTACTTGAATCAGTATTCACGCTGACTTTGTAGTCTGAAGAAGATGATCGTCAGGGTTCAAACTGACTGTGCCAATCACAACTCTTCTCACTATTACTACTTTTACTGAACGTGATACTGACAAAGAAGTAAACCATTTAGAACACTCATTAAGACACGAAAGCGTGTCAGTGCTGTGTGAGTTCAAGAGGTGATAAATAAACCACTGTAAACAATAGGAGACAACAACGAAAAGTTTTGTTACAGAAATCCGGAAGGGAACTACTTGGGCCGCCATAAACTGTAACAACTGCAAAGTACCAGACGTAGGATTTAGTTTGTTTAATTTCCTATAGCTCGTTGAGTATCAATTTAGAATACGCACGTGTTATGTTGTCAAGGCAAGGGTTAACCCTCTCCATTGGGGTAGGTCACGAGCTTTTTAAAGAGTTACATTCAAAATTTACACTACTTTGATGTTATTTCATATCAATAATGTTAGAATCAAAACATAGTTAATGAATCAAATTTTAAAATTATTTAAGTTTTAATTTCATAGTTTGGAAACATATTAAAATGTTTTTTGTTTTGTTTTTAAATGTTCATTTGTCCCTATCACGTGACACTTGTTCGGAATTCAATACCGTAACTTGGGCTATGTCTTCGTCGTGTGTGATATTGCCCTAACCGCGTGATTAGATGTTAGGCACTGTTCAAAGGACAGTGGAATTAAATAAAAACAGATACAAACTGTTACAAGCTTTAAGCTGTTAAGGAAAAATAATGGTAATATTATGTTACAATCTGCAGGGTTTTTTTTTTTTTTTGTGGTGGTTACAAGGTCGGT